GACTGTTGCAACAAATGGGCATCTAGACTTTAACAATTCAACCTATGCAGCATCGACCATCGCGGTCACTCTCAGCATTGCAAGTCATGTTGCGATTGATCCGATCCTGCTTGTGTTGATTCAAATGCTGCTGAGAGATTCCATAAGTGTCGTATTTATAGATACCCGTTACTACCATAAACAACCGATAATAGCAAAAGCAATAATTAATTCATCCAGGGTTCATCCCCATCAAAACACACAGAACGGATCACCCGCACTCGACGTCGACCGACAAAGATAGCGTATCACTGTCACAACAACGTAATCAGAAAGAGTTGTTGTCTTGAGAACTTTTTGGACTGTGAGATACTTCAGAGGTTTCGCGGAACAGCTAACCACTTTCCCACTATAGGAACTAATCTTACAATAGTAATGATGGTCATTCAGTTATCCATGAAGCAAGCACATATTTATATAAATCACGAATACGTTACGCGACTTAGTCGAGAAAAACGTGTTTAATATAAAGCACATCTTTGGACATTTTATATTGTGGTTGAGTACCTTTTTATGATGATAACGACTAAGACAAGATTTCTCTATAGAGAAGGTAATAATTAACTAAAAATAACGATGGCAATCGTGGAACCAAAGTAGAATTTCACGCCCGTGTTTTTGTAGCGTGTTTTTTTTTATTGAAAGTTAATGACATCTATGAAGAAAGGATTGAAATCACAGCACTACAAACAGTTTTGGCATGACCTCAGCAGCAAGCCTGTCGAGTACTGTGCAAACAGCATGTGATTTCTTAGTATTGTATCTTAAAAATCCCCTAGAATGTTACCGAGTGCATGTTCGCGGCAGCATGCTTAATCAGAAATTCGAAAATGCAATGCAAAATATAATTTGGAAACAACATTCGTCAGAACGACCCATGCAGTATAATTTATCTGACCCAGAATAATGTGATATACACCAAATGGGTCCTGCTAAGCTGCCTATATACACTAGTTGTTTAGGCACTATTATTCCACAATATTGGTAACTAATGGATTCGAAAATCGAAACGATCGTTAACGTTTGCTACTTGCAGGATTAGTGTACAGGTGTGTTGAAGACTTAAAATAAAATATAAATGAAATCTTATTGGCGAATGACTCCAGTGCTGAAATTATGACAAAGATACATTTAAATCAGAGTGATCTAGTGCATTGTGCTAGTGAATCCCTGTACGGCCGGGCCGACACAGGTTTTACTGAGATTGGACGCGAGTTGAAATTTTCATTCAACTTCAACTTTCGTCTTTTGTCTGTGGTGCAGCTGCGGCGTCATGAAACCTTCACTCGACTAGCGACTATGCTTTGGAAGTAACGAAGCGAAAAGACACCTTGACCTAACGTTATCCAGACTTTTCGAGCGTCTACCAAGACAGGCTTTTGTATCATCGTCTGGTAAAAAAAAATGATTCCGGCAGTAAAAGGTACCGCCTTTTTTCAGCGACAACGGCAGATTGGGGGAGCATTGGCAATCGGAAAATAATACTTTTATCTTGTCGCAACATGATTATGGCGGTTTTGACCACATTTGTTTCCCTGTGGTTACCTGACTTTGCGATTTACAGGAAACTTCTTACAACCCATGATAAGGATATGACATTCTGTTGTTCAATGTTTTCGCGTTTGCGGGATACTAGTCGAGCAGTTACGCGAGACGTAATCGCTAGACGCACAGCTGTAGTCACTTGCGTCGCTGCGAAGCGTTTATATGAGTTACTTGGAGACGGTTATTCCGTTTCAGCGGTAGAACATTGCATTTAAATGTTCATTATGGTGGATCCAGCGTTTTGCTGGGTACATATTAGCTTATATGCATTCAGAAAGCTTCAGATGTCTCAGGTAAACTTGGGTTAGAAGAAGCTTACTTTGGATCTTACTGTCTAACCGATTCGATCGAGTTATGTACTGATTTAACAAGCAAGATATGTCGTTATTCAATCGATTGAATTCTGTGCAGAATCTAACTAGTGCTGCTAATACTAATTGACGGTTCATTTTTTACTATTAGTACACAAAACTAGGATAGATGGATTTTTTTATTCATTAAATAGCTTATGTTGCTACAATATGGTCGTGCATTTTGTTTTGATCTCTAATCATTGGAGAAGGGATCCCCTATGATTGCAGTGATCGCTACTGAATACAGACGCATGTCAGACGCCCCCTTAGCAGTACAGTGTAGACATGCGGACCCTTTTTTTTGAGTAGGGTGACATAGCACAGTGGCCTCTAAGTACAAGAGGCCAGTCAATATCCGGAGAGTAATACATTGCAATACATGCGCTTGTGTAACAATCCAGTCGAAAGTGGGAAACGTTATTAAACCATGGCATTACTGTTTAGGAGTATACAAGAGGTTAGGTCGTACTTGTCGTGCTTAGTGGTCTGTATGCTAGTGTGGCAGAGCTTTTACGAACTTCTGTAGGGAAAGCGTTGCATGCATACCCATTAGTAACAGAAAAGGCAAACGGCTCATTTGGGACAAACAATTGTTCGGGGCACAGATGTGTCGTTATGTCTTTCCTGTTCGCTCTGATCAATTTGGCTTCCGTATAAAGGCAGCATGTGGTTTTGTAAATGCTCTTCCATCGACATGTTATTTTCGAATTGTAAGCATATATTTTAGCCTCGAAAGGGTTATAAGGTATCATTGTGGAGCATCAATTCCGTATTTCTGATTCGGGTTATACGCGACATTGATTTAAGCAGCTTTCGTAGCGACTAAGTTCGCGTAATAGTACAAGGCTTCCTATTAGCGTACATTTTTCCGACAGCTTCGACGCATAGATAGATCGCCGAGTTTCTGCAGAAGCGAATTTCCTGAATAATGTTGCTTCCACTCATTCTATCAGCTGACAAATGCAAATTCAGTTTACTAGAAAATTTAGGACTTTGCCTGTCACACAGAGCTTTTTGCCGCCTTCTGGCTGTAGCTAGCTTGATTTGTTGAGTAATTGTTGCGCCAGTAAATTTGATCTGTGCTTAACATGGTCGGTTGACTGGCTCAGCTCGTGTTAGAGTGAGCCTTCCCAGAATAGGATGTGTCAGATGTTTAGTCTTAATTTTATCATTTTTCTTCGCGAGTCCTTCGCTGCTTGCCGCAATTTTACGCTGCTGTTACAGGCATCAACAAAGACAATACCGAACAACTACGTTAACGCATCTGTTTAACCGCTTAGAAATAATGATGGATGCCTGTTGTCATATAATACAATTCGAGTGTGTATCGTAGCAATGTCCATTTTCGAGAAGTCCTTATCAAATGTCTATGGGGAAATCGGATTATTTTTGTGCCGTACCCTCGAGTTTCTCAATAGTGTGACTGTACTCGATGTGAGCGCGTTATGTTAGACGAAGTAATTTAGTGTGGAGCTGCCGAAACGGATGTCACCTATGAGAAGCGTGCGTGTTTCGACCCCCAGGCCGGCATCGAACACGATAGGAGGGCCTGTTAATTACTAATCACAGTACCTAGTAGAGGAAAACTCACCTGAACTTGGCAGATGTTGCAATTGACCAGTAGGAAATTTGTCTATCCGGTTTCTGCATCTAAGCAAAAGCCCTCGAAAGTTTTATGTATTTCAAGCAAATTTTCAAATTGGTAGCGTTAATGAAGCTTGGATACAATAGCTATAATTCAAAAGCAGTTGTGTAAAAACTTTTTTTGCTATTAATTGGGCCTTAATTAATTGCAGACGAGGACGAGGCTGTCAACTCATCATTGGCTTTAGGAACTGCATAGTCTCTTAGTTCGTTCTACAATTTTCCTGGTGCCAGTTTTCGTCTTTGAGTCATTATTATGTACTCGAAGAACTATATATAGGAACACTTAATAATAACAACAACTGTTATAAAATCAAGATCATATAACTTTTTTTTTTATTGTCACGATATTTATTGCACGGCCTGTCGTTTAGCAAAGTTTCAGTTTTAGCTATGATTATACTTGATAACAGCTAAAACGCTATTGCCATTGCAATGTACATAGTAGCTACTACTGAACAATTCTGTTTTTAAGAGGCTTTCTCTAACGTGAAAGCATATTCATTTTTGCATCATGTCACGTGGTGCTTGATCGAAGTCAGCTAATGCGTTTCTTCGTAGCGTTATTACGGGAGAGGAAACTAGAGAGAGAGAGAGGGAAAATAGAGGAAACAGAGATGGATTCTTTCTTAGTTTGGCTCACTGAAAGCCTTGACAGGAAACGAAGTGAGCAGGTGGTCATTTTACGAGGGCCCATTATAAAAGCCGACATGAATAAAGAGCCTTGTTCTAAAACAAGTCACGTAAACATGCATAATTTGCTGAACTGTTGATTCCTTCCTTGATCTAGACTAGTGTCATATTTAGAAAAAGTTATAATGCGTACTAGCATATATACGCGTAAGACGTTTTGTTTACTTATGTCGGCGATGGTATGGTGAAATATTTCGCCATATCTAATAACAGCTCTAGAAAAAAACTGTCGTATAGATTAAGAAATGTTCTAGCTATACGGGATAGGCGACAAATACACCTATTGGTCAAATCAAATAGGTTAAATAACAAAAAATGATACGCATCTGCACGTTCAAATGAAATGAAGCTTTGCTAGTGGGAACCTCTTGTCGTCTTTAATGAAATTTAGATCGCTAATTGCATGGATCAAAAGCTTTTTGCATCGAACCCAAGCTAGACGTATACAGGTTTAGTTAATTTCGATGAAATGCTTTATGCAAATCAGTAGTAATCCTTGTTCTTCAAATGTGCTAGCGTTTATTTAAGATAGCAAATCTATTATTAGCTATCCAAAAAACTCGTATTTACTAGTTAAATGATCATCTGTTATTGCTGAGCTCGTTGAGTAGCTCATGAATTTAGAACCTTACCTTAAGGCTAGGTAACAGTAAGTTTTTTTAGTAAAGTGTTTGTGGAAATCGATTACATAAGCGGTATAAAGATTTTCTTACTCCGCCTTTTCAGAGAAGCGGTCGCTCGAGGAAATCTCCCGTGCCTGTGTTGTTCTTGAAGGAGAGAATGATGAACAACGTGAAGTTGTCATTGCTCTTAAGGTAGGAGGATTACAAAATACAAGTTTGCTCGATTTGGTTTAATCTTCCTTCATGTGATTCTGTAGAAGTGCGAAATGTTTTGTCTTTATTTTTTTAGATGGGACAATTGTCTGAGTGCAATGGGTATATTTTGAGTATGATCTCTAATGGGTATTGAGTGTAATGTATTGTCTTACACATGAAAAACAATGTTTCATTGACACGGTGTACGTTATATTATTAATTTCGTACGTTATATTATTATATTGTCCAAGATCTAATTCTAGATTTCGACTCATTTAAGCATATATCATTCAGATAAACGCCATACAACAGAACCGATAATCAGGTTAATGCTAGCAACTTTATCGGCATGCTAGTAAGCTCGCTTGTGGAGGGCATAATCAAATTAAAAAAAAGCACCAAATATTTTATCTGCCATCACATCCATTTGTTACACCTTTTCAATAGTATGGAGCACTGCACCATAGTGTGCTTGTGAAGAGATTCAGGCAGTGCTCAGCAGAAAATCTTCTTCTTACAGTACAAGGCTCTACATTTTTTAACACCTAAACCCGGTCTAGCAGGTTCACAACTCGTTGAGGTGAAGTGCCCTCATGGCTGCCTTCCCACTCATTTACACAGTATAGTAAAACCTGGGACTGTAGGAGAGCGTTTACTATGTCTAATGCTGCTGTAGGTACTTTTGAAGGCATTTTTCTTGTGATTCGCTTTGGTGCTCCTTAACGTAAACTAGGGTAAGCTCTCTATGTCTTGTCGCTAGTTCTATTAATCGCCGCGCACTGTTTTTGGGCAGTCAGCATCGTCTTGTTTAGCATAAAACAATAGTAACTTTGATTAACCTTTGATCACGCTTTGATTAACTTGATTTCTCTTCGTTAACTGTTCCAAGAGATTAGATTTGCAAGAAAGCGTGGTACTTTTCTCATGCTCAGGACCTGTTTAGAAGAACTATGAATACGCTGTATATGGCTTATATCATCTGCTGGTACGATCCCTTTAATTCACAGAAATACCATATATTACCGGTTTAAAATGCTATAAAATCATATATTATAAAATCCTACACCGCGGACACGAACTTTTTGGGTCAGCTATCGCAATCGTATTCTTTCACGTGCACAATTGTTTCTGGAATTTTTTGCGCTTCTCCTTGTATGTGAAATTCCCTAGCATAAGCAACTCATTGTTGATTGGTTTTACTTCTTTTTTTTACAACGCGCAATTTTGAGTCTGGAAAAACGATAGGCAGTCATAGAACCAATATTTTAATATCTAAGGGTATTCACTTTTTCAAAGAGCTGTACTCGAAATGCTGGATGGCTCAACTTTGCTGGGTAGTGCGACGGACTCCAGTACAGAGCACATCTCCGCGCAAACGTTTCATTTTAGCTGTAAGGCTTATAGCGGAAACCTTTCCTAGAACAAGTACTAATTAAAATCAATATCTCACTGGACACTTATTATACGCAAGTAGCGGTACATTCATTTAGATGCCTTGCAGCTCTCGGTAACGACGGTTCGTATCATTTCGTTTACGCTTGCGCACATGTCTGCGTACTTGCAAAGCACTCCTCAAAGGCTCTCTAGTTACTCATCATTCTAACATTCATCATTCGTGATGGAAATCATTAATGACATTCAATATCCGACGCTTTCAGCTTATGGGTTTTCAAGTTGAGTTCAAATCATACACAGATTTGGAAATGTTGGGTAACGACCGGAGTTGCATCGTTGTCATGGATTTTGCGCACATACTGGAAACACGCTTGTCCACTCTACTTTTCTATGGGCCGACCTGCATAAAGCGGGCTGTAGCCGCTACTGCAGGAAGTTCGCCGAATGCCAATGACGCAGGAAACGTTGGCCCGCCGTCTTCTTTCGGTATGTTTGCGAAACAAATAATTGGCTAAGACGCGTTTCAAATGCAGTCTGTAGGAGTTTCCGTAGTTCAGTGCAGGTATAACTTCTTTGGATATACGCGAAAAATTACCTTACCGTCTTAAAGATGGCCTACTAAATTGGTGCTGTTTGCTACTGTCATCGCGGTATTTCAGACTGCAGAAAGCCGATGGAACATGAAGGCGACGGTGACATGAAGGCGGCTAATAAGGCAGCGACTCGTGAAGATGACGCTAGTCTATCAACCAGTACAGCGATCCCACAACTTCCTTTCACGGGTCATTCTATGTTGACTACGATTCTGCTGGGAAAGAAATGTTGCTTGCAAGTGTTTAAACATGAACAAACTACATATCGAGCGAAAATCTATGCGTTGGGTGGCCGACTTGCAAAACGCGTTCAAGACGCGGATCTCTTGGTGACTCCATGGGCCTATGGTGATCAATACAAGTTGGCGCGGTCCTTCGAAATACCCGTTGTAGGACCAGGATTTCTTGACGCCTTATGGGAACAGAGGACCAGTCTTGACTTTGAGCTAAGTAACGACATTGTCGAGCAGTTTCGTCTCCCAGTATTTTCACGGCTGAAAATGTTCCTCTGTGGGTTCGAGGCTGCTGGCGAGGACCCTGAACAGCTTCGTCAACGCGCCATGGCTAATGGCGCTGCGATAACGGGAAGTGTAAGTTGTTATAAATTTTACCAATCAGTTTCACCAGTTATATTGTACACAGGTATTGACAGCTAGCAATGATAACAGTAATCATAATAATAGCTAATGCACCCTTTAACACTTTTGCGTGTCAGAAGATGCAAAATACGGCTGTACGTATTATTTAACGTTGTGCATATGCGTGTTTGTAACAGGTGTCCGGTAACGGTACTTACATTGTGGTCGTCTGCCGTAAGGGCTGTTCCATGGAGGATCTCAAGAAACTACACAGAGAACTTTCAGCGAAATCCGCAATTGTCTACGAAAATTGGTTAGTAGTTATTTTGATGCACAAATTTCGCCAGCGATTGTATCGTTTGAAAGCTTGTTTATTTACCGAAGTGCGTACACGAGTTCAGTACACGACATATGGATAGTATTACTTGGCAAAAACAAAACGTACACAGTACCTTTAGTCTTTGCATGTGCAACTCATTGTCCTGGTTGTCCTATAGCATGAATATGCGTCGCTTTTATGTACGATCTACGTCAGTTCACGGCATATATTAGTCATACCAATAACGATAGTTGAAAGCTTTACACCTAAGTACTTCAATTCACAGTCAGAAGCTCTAGAAAAAGAGGAATTGTTTTTTCATTTCCGGCGTAAACAGAAGAAAGGGAACGATGATCCTTTTCGGAAAATGTTTTTTTGACTGAACCAGATTTAATCCAGGCTGAACCAGGGCATGACAATTTCAGCAGCTCCTATTTTGTTCTCATGATTCATTTGTTTGTAATAATTAAAGCATAAACATACGAATGCGAAAAAACACAAGTAGTCATACAGTTCTGGTTTCTTTCTATCGCTCGAGTAATATATTATGCGAAGTATTTATATTAGAGCATAGTGTCCATTTGAGAGCAACTACTATATACATCTGTATTGTTACAAATGGTCATAGCTCTCTTGATTGAAAGTATGTTGTTTTCAGTCAGTCTATCATCATCCATGTATCTTGCATATAGCGTGCACTGGGCGACAATTAGCAAACGGAGTGTACATTAGATAAAATTATCCAAGTGGTCATTTTTTCTCTATAGTGATGTCAAAGTCATATTCTGGATGATGAAGCATAAAAGTGAAGTCTAAATGTACATCACCCTTTTTGGTTAGTCTGGTCCCACAATAATAGACGAGGTACGATGTAAATGATAAGAACCAACTATAGCCAGCGCCAGGTCTTTTTGTGATTCATAAATGCATGCGTCTCAGCTGCTTCAACTTGCGTGGAACACTTCAAACGATTGAGCGTTCTTAAAAAAAGAGGACACATCTAGATAAATAGCAACATATGATTATAATAGAATGCTCAATAATTATTCTTATGCCCTATTATCACACGACGTAGTCTCGAGTAAGTTACATAAAACAACTGAAACTTAAAGAATATATGAATTTCTAAAAGCTCTTTTGCGTGCCCATTTTAAAGGTTCTACGACTCCATTGCTCAAGGATATGCTCTTTGCGAAAAGCATGAAAGTTATGACGCGCGAAGAGTCGTAGCGGCGGCCGTAGCAAGTTTGGGAAATACTTCAGGAGGCGGCAAGTCAAGTCCACCGGGAAGACGAAAGCGCGGTGCTGATAGCCCAGGAGTTCCACCCAGGTTTGTCAGATAAAGATCGTCACTGATTTAGGAATACACACTTATTTGGAGGTGCCTTTCGAAAAGAACAGTAACGTTCCTAAAATTATTTTACATACATTCGTATGTTGAGCCATCTAGCTTCTTGTCAATTTTCGAAGTGGTTAACTATATAGTACCGCGTATTTTTCTTCCAGAACCAAAAAGTCAATGGAATCGTTACTACTATCGCCCCGAGTAGAGGAACTCTCCCGTCGGGATTCCTGTGCAGGCAGTGTGTCCCCGTCAATGGGAGCTGCATCGCCTATTCGTACAAACGAAATCACGGACCAGCGACATCTTGTGCTTATCGAACTCTTTGACACGGAAACAAACTATTTAAAAATTCTGAAGTTTATTATGGATATGGCAACCGAATACTTGGGACATCTTGACTTTGACAAAAAACATCAAAAAGCCTCCCATCAGCTTGAGAGGTCCGCATCCGACCGAAGTTCCGATAGATCTGGATCTGAGAGAACATCAGAGCGAGCCTCTGAGCGAGATCGCGACGATATTATTACACGTTTCGAGAGACAGGAAATCTTTAAGGAGATCCCCAACATTATTGACCTACATACAACCCTTCACAAACGAATGGAAGCTGCACTAAAAGATCTAGATTTTCGCAATATTGCGCCAATTTTTCACGGCGAAGATGCGTGCGGCCTGATACCGGAGGTAGAGGCTAACATTCAACAGCACAATAAAACTTTTCTAAAGCGTTTGGGACGTAAAGGTCTTGCAGATAATACAGCGAATACGGGTCCCGTTAAAGAAAATGTAAACAACATTGTTGCCACGTATAAAACATTCCTGAACGGCTTGGAGACAATCAAAGCTCGGGTAGAGGCCCTGCTTACAGAAAATCCACGATTTGCGGAATTCGTGCGCCGAGTTGAAGAGCGACCTGAATGCAACAGGGAAAAGTTTCTTCATCTTCTCATTCGCCCTGTACAGAGGTGGCCGTCAATTCTGAATTTGCTGAAGCGATACAGCGATGAAAGCGAGCGCATGGCTAAGCGGCTTGAAAGTAGTATTAAAGGCTCATCGATGCATGAGGAAAAAATGCGTTCAGAAGCAGCAAAAGTACGTCTTGGTGGGCAGGACGCCATGAGAGTTTATCGGTTTATCGAGGACTCGCTACGCCAAATGAATGACTCGAAAAGCCAGACGCTAATGATTTGCGAGGCCTTGAGAATACAGAATACCATTGAAGATATTCCGGCAATGTACTGGTCGAAGAAATACACGCTCAATCACCACTGTGACGCGACGTTGGTGGCCACTTCAGAGACGCTCAGTCAAACTAATGGTCAAAAATCATTGAAAAACGTTGAGGTTACGTGCTTCCTATTCTCGCACGGTCTAGAGGTAAATGCTTTATAATGCTCATGAAATTGATCGTTTACTGTTATGTTAACATACACTCGATATTTAGCTGCGGCTTTTTTACATTTCAAGTATAACCATTCCCAAATGATAAAGTGGTACGGAGAAGTTATGAAAATGAGTATAGCGTACCTAAGCTACGCATGGAGCCAAAATAGACACTGATATGATAAGCTTTTGTTTGTCCCCCTATTATTAGCATAGAGACTTTGAAGACCTTTGAAGAACTGAAACAACCTAGCATATTACATTTTCGCTCCGCATTTTGTCGATATTCTAGATTGCTCGGAAAAAGCTGAATAGTAAACATCATAAACCCTACAAGCATGTTGCTTTCATTCATTTCGACAAGATCAACACGCTTCTAGTGAACGAGGACCCAGACCCCATGCTCAGGCGACTTCTTGAAATCGTTTTTCGTGAGCAGCGCAAGGAAATTGCCAGCTCTGTTTTGTCAAGGCAAGGTTTTTGATGTTTTACCAAGTACCATCCTAGTAAATAGGATGTTGTTTCTCCGGACGGAAGGTTTCGATGCCTTGATTAATGGTTTTTAATCGCTTTCGCGAAGAGTTGTTATATTAATTTATTGATGTTATAGTGAACTATTGGATAAACACCAAATCTAGATTTCGCAAATCTTGTTTGGCAAATAACTAACTATTCTCTGACAAATTAACTGAGTTTTGTTGTGTTCGAGCCTTTCTCGGTGTCATGATCTGCAGCCGGAGAAGCTACTCAACACATTTAGCGCTCTCTCTACGGTCGCCATTTGTTTAATTTTCTTTGTTGCTAAATCTGAGCATGTGTTGCTTTCTTCAGGGAAGGAGTGTCCGAAGTCGACGGAAACGACACGGAATTGCTAGCAGCAGGCAGCGAGGCAGCCGACTACTCTGAAGAGCGAATACTTCTCGACCTCAAGGATATCCAGGCCAAAGAAGCGCTTATGAAAAAACTGGATAGTACAAATACGGTACGACCCAATTGTTTACGCGGTAGAAAAACCTGCTTACCGCAGTTGTGTTCAGATTTACAGTTATAGATACTTGTATTTAATGAAGCATAATATTGTGCAGTTTAAATAAGGTTACCTGAACGGCCTACATATAGAAGTCAGATTAGATAGCAAACGCCAACTGTACAATTGAAACCCGTCCATTACGTTGTCCGACGGCTACGTTACAGAATTCGTTCGAAGTCGAGCGCATTACTACGTCAGCGACTTCCGGTGATCGAAAGGAGGGACTCCGTTCAGATTCGCTGTTGTTAATGCTGTCACAAGCTCATCACGGCAGTACACCAGTGACGCAACTTGCAAGGTGGGTTACACAAATTGCCAGCTATTATGAAGAGAAAATAGCTTTCTTCCATTTTTACCTCCTACTGAGACTTCTAATTCGCTTTTAAGGCCTCAATGACGTGTCCGTATTTACGAGTTTTCAAATATAATATATTAAGTAAGCATAATGTTAACTAAAAGTAAAAATTAATGCTTGCCGGATTTTGTTTCTGCTTCGCTGACAATACGAGATCAATCAAAAGAATCCAACTTAGTAACGTAGAGTTTCAACAACACCTCTCAACGCGTAGCATAGCCACCAGGCAGCGTAGCTGTAAGGTTTCTATGCTACTAGCATGATTACATATTACGTTGGGCTATCGTCGATAACCCCAATCTAATTTTATTTTTCACGTAAGTAGACTTTTACGCTGTCGATCATCTTAAAGTGGCAGCGCATTGGTAGTGAATACACAATCAGTATGCCTCCTTTAGCTTTGTAACGATCCGACAGAGCAGTCTTACATTTGAAACACTAGTTTCATTAACCGCAACCACAAATCTACTGCGTTATACGAAACCTGACCGAGTGTAGCATTAGCTAGTTTGTGGAATAAGTAGAAACATCCGATACAAGAACGGTCTGAAACCGGCACAGTTTCATGCGGGCCTTTCTAGGCTTGGAATATAAAAGCAAATTGATTTGTATGAGTCTGCTAAATGCCTCGAAAGGATGTCATGGAAACGCATTTCCTGTCCGCTTTTCTCCGCTCATTCTAAGTAAGATATGTTTTAATTTTTTGGTTAGTCTTCTTGTGTGTGTGAACTTAGATGAATGTCGAAACAGTAAGATGAACGCTTTCATATGACTTAATCTTCTCGTAATATGTGCGTTGGAGCAGGTCGTTATCGAACGTTTCAGAGATGTCTACGCCGAAGAAGCTGACCCGAACGTTCAGTAATCTTATCAAAAAAGGCCTTCTGGGTGCTAGCAGCAACAAGGTCTGTAGGTCTATGTATGCACATATAATTTGTTGTTTTGAAGGAACTATAGCGGTTCAGCTCATTGTCTTCCGTTTTCGAAAATTTTTGTCTAATGCAGTAAAATATTGCGTATTTTGGACACTTTTCCAGACAGAACGTACCAAGTTCAAATAGGGGACATGACTGTTCATGAATCACGCACTCACCAGTGAACATTTAACTCTCTTTGTAGATGGTTCGAGAAGAAACCTCCTCACCGCATTCCCCGCCCGGAAGCACCATGCAGTTCAGCCGCGGCCGCCACGGCGTAAGTATTTCAACCACCTCTCTGCGACCCCGGATACTGGGTGGTTCTAGTTCATCAACTCACCATCGTTCATCCATGTCGCTAATGGCAAGCGAATCGTCATCCCCCGAAAAACAACCACTGTCACCTTTGCGGTCCAGTAATAACAATGCTTATAGTGGGGGTGGTACTGGGGAACAAGAGAGCGGAGATGCAACAGATGGAAACGTTAAGCCAAGTGCTAAACGTAAGAAAGTAGAGGGTGGCTTTGCGCTACCGGTTGGCCGTGCGCCCATTTCTCCTAAATGGGTGCGACGCTCCCTAAGCATCTCGAGGCGAGCTGTAAGCGGTAGCAGCAAACCCGAAAAACTAGATGTGTAAGGGGTGAAGAGAGGCGCAAATCTGATAAGGCAGGGTCGGGGAATTCGTTATGTAATTCTAAGATAACGCCCTCGAGAAGGTTCGGCAAACTTTAGTTTAAAATTCAAATGTTTAGCGTGTAGAGATGAAATAAGGTTAAAAATTCTGTACAACAAAATAGTGAACGTACTGTTACCAATTAAATGAGCTGGTTTGCTTAGTAGTAGTACACCTCGGAGATGCCTGGAGGAGCTATACATAATAACATTTTTTTCTAGTTGAGGCCCAAAACGACTAGGTAAAATATATATA